AGAACTGATTATAGTTAGGCATCACAGATAGTCCGATATGGGTCGATCGATCTAATTACTTGACTAATTGATAGTCCAATAGATCGGGCAACGAAGTGGATGTGCGGAAAATGCACACACACACACACACACAGTTTACCCAATATCAAGGCGACCTAGTAAGCAGGCCAATAGTTCACAATCACACATTACAAATGAAGCAATTGGACTAGTATACTCTGTTCTGGAGGCATTTGAGTACTTTGCGACTGAACAGAACAAGGGGAAATGACAAAAACAGGATTCAAGCTGTAGAATATTGGAATGATCCGCAGAATGGTGAAATATGGGGATTGTGGATCTGTGGAACCGGTCACCGGCATGAATACATCAATGTTGCCGTACAAGGTCGCGGTGTTTTTGCGCCTAGTCGACAAAAGGGAATGATGGGCACAATGGGTAAAGCGTGCGTGTGGACTGACTGGGCAGAGTGAGTGTATGGCGAAAGGAGATCGGTTGAAAGCACAATCACCGAGGGAACTGTGCGTACGGTGATCTGCTATCCCTCTTGCTCGGTCACTCTCAGATGAGAGCAGAAACGGCTAGAAAAATAGAAAATGGACGAGCGAATTAGGAAAGAACTAGAAAAGTCGAAGGGCGAAAATAAGGATGTGAGTGGCGTGTGGATAACTGACATTGTTCGGAAAAGAAAATGAGATCAAAATAAAAAGGTATTGAGCTTACGAGTATAAACTAGAGGAAGGAGTGAATACACTAATTTTGCTGAATCGGATCGACAAGTTTAAGTGACTTGCAGAGGAGGGCAGTAAGGTACAATTGCTGATAACACAAATCTGATACACTGACGGCAGCTGAAGAATAACAAAGGTCGAATAGTAGACACGGAGTGTATTATGTGAGTGTAAACAGAGATAAAGTTGAAAACAGGAGGGGAGGTGGCTTTGAAGGCTATTGATGGTGGATAGAGAAAAAGGCGAACTGTGGATAATCTGAATGGAGGAGAATAATTGCCGGAACTCACAAAAAGGACCGCGTGGAGTGATGCGGAATGAACCACGGTGATAAGTGAAGAAGGAGCAGCTTGTATGTCATATAACAAGCATATGTATCTGCAG